GCCATGGCTGTAAATTGAAGTGACATCATATGTATTGCCCCCATTGATCCGCTTTTAGTCTCCAGCCAGGATAAAAGGAAATGGCATCAGGGAGGAAGCATGCTTCATTTAGGCACAGATCCCAGAGTGATAATGGGGTAATAATAGAACTCACGCCACTGTCAGCCCGTGGCTGCCTCCGTCCCGGGCTTGTTCTCTGGCTGGGGAGCCGCACAGTGACTTTCTTGTGTGAGGCAGCGGCGCAGCAGCTGGGCCACGCCGGAGGTGCTCTCCTCTGCTGTCGGAGGGGTGCAGGCACCGGGGCGTGGAGGCTGCCGTTCGCTGGTCTCTTGTCACAGGCCCTGCCTCTGCAAGGTCAGTTGTGAGCCATGTCCGATGCGGGAGGGGAGCTGGCCTGTTCTGATCGTGCTGATGGAAGAAGTGGCGGCGGGACCTCAGTTGCGTGGGTGGTCTTCTGGGAGCGCAGAGTGAGTGACGCCCCCGTGACAGCAGTAAGAGGCTTTTGGGAGAGTCGGGGTTTTTTTGTTGAGCTGCCTCTAGTTGAGGAGGGTGGGTTTGGAAAATTCGTGTTTTCTTTCCAAGAGCATGCGTAAAACGTCTCCCAAACCACTGGAAGTCGTACAGCTCACGTCGACTCTGAAGCTGGGAGAAACATGCGGTGGACTTCTTTCTTTCTACAGTTCTTAGTGTTTAGCAGCTGTGAAATCTTCCATGTCTAGAGTAGAACACAGGCTTCTAAAATCCTTAAGCAGCATTTGTACTTGACTGACCTCGTGTAGCATTTTATTTCTTGTATTCATTTCAGTAAGTTTTATAGTTCTGTGAAGTTCTCTTGCAAATACCCACATCACTTTGGCACCTTGTAGTCCTATTTTGTGTAAATTTCGGAGGCAGATGCATTTTAAAAATACTGAGCTGGTCTCCGTATGGAAAAAATAACCCCATCATGAATTTCTTGTTTATGCAAAGGAAAGGACTTTTGCATTCCTGTCACTGTTGAACTGTGGGTGTGAGCACTGTTAGGCCCTCAGAAATAAAGGCAAGTTGTTTTGATAATGTTTGAAGAAGGAGCTACTTTCTTAGGTGGTGATGCTCGTCGGTGAGGTCCTTTATTTTTCACGATCACTCTGTGGTGCGACCAGAGCCTTCTCTCTCTCCCGCCGGTGCTGCTGTGTTAAACACAGCTGGCCTTTCAGTCTAAAATTCAGTTAATCTTAAAATGAATAAATAAACGCAGTTGGCCTAGAAGTCACGTGAAGTTTGCTCTGATTTCCACGTGGGTGGAAGTGGAGTGGTCCACATAGCATGTCCCACTCCCCCGTGCCTGCCCTGGGCTCCTCGCACCGCCCCACCCGCTGCTGCCTTGAGCACATCTGCTGATGTGTGGTCTCTTTCAGTGGCTTCACAAACGTTTCGGTTTATTACGTCACCGCTGCCTCTTCATTTGTAGGGTGGCTTTACGGGGAGCAAATGTTTATTTTACAAAGAGAAATGTATTGAGGCTGTTTAACTACATTTTTGCTTCAATATCCTCTTTTTAAGGTCTATTATCTCATCCTTTAAAAATGTTGTAATGTGTATTTTGCGAATAAAAGATGCTTTATTAGTTTTATTGTCTGTGTCCCAACATAGCATTTGTTCACTGTTTTTTTTTTTTCCCTACTTTTTTCAGAAACTACATTCCCCCCCATGAGTTACAACTAAAAGCCGGATGGCCACAGGTTGTTTACTAAGTGAGAGTCATTTCACATCTGTTCAGAAGAATGGGACTCAGAGAAACGTGGGAGCACGAGGCTGGCTGTGGCAGCACTGTGGTCGGGACCTTGTTTAGGGGGAGCAGATACCTGAGGGGAGGTCCGCCCTTGCTCCTCGCCTCTCTCACATGAGAGTCAGTGTGCTCCCTCCCTTCCATCTCATGGTCTTAAGTCCAGGAAGAGAGCGTCAAAGGTTTTCATTGTGTAAAATTTGGAGAGGACAGAAGCTTCCGTGGATCCTTTTGGTTCTGTTGCTCTGTAGAGATGCGTGAGCTTTCAGCTTAAAAGAAAGCTCAGACCGGCCGGGCGCGGTGGGGGGCCGGGCGCGGTGGCTCACGCCTGTCATCCCAGCACTTCGGGAGGCCGAGGCGGGCGGATCACGAGGTCAGGAGATCGAGACCATCCTGGCTAACACGGTGAAACCCCGTCTCTATTAAGAAATACAAAAAACTAGCCGGGCGAGGTGGCGGGCGCCTGTAGTCCCAGCTACTCGGGAGGCTGAGGCAGGAGAATGGCGTGAACCCGGGAGGCGGAGCTTGCAGTGAGCTGAGATCCGGCCACTGCACTCCAGCCTGGGCGACAGAGCGAGACTCCATCTCAAAAAAAAAAAAAAAAGAAAGAAAGCTCAGATATACAAGTATGAATGCAGGTGTTTTTATAGGTCCACGTATTGGTAATTGTTGGGTTTTAAACTGGGCTGTATCTGTTGGTTACACCTAGTTGGGGTAAGTTGAGGACCAAGCTATTGTCTTACTCAGGGTTTCTTTGCTCAGTGTGTCTTTAGTTTAAACCAAATCCCAAACGAGAGTTCTGACAGGAGGCTTCTTTGTTAGCACAAGTGTAGAACATGGGGACGTGCTTTTCTTTCTCCTCTCCCCTCCCTGTAAGTCTGCAGTTTGGCAGGACTGGTTCCTTCTGTAATTAGTCAGCAAACGAGGCCCCTCTTCTGGCAAAGGGTGTTCTGCTGGTCTGGGTGCCGGTGGTGCCGAGAATTGCTTCTCTGTGAGGCTGAGCCTGTTCCCCGAAGCCTGCCTGCCTTTGTCTGGAGGGGTCTCGATGCCAGGTCCTGTTATCCTCGGATTGTCTGTCTTAAGAAATGCTGCTCACCAGTTTTGAGTGTCTGTGCGGTAGAGTAGGTCTCCATCCTGTGGTGGCCTGGCCTGGGTACCCCGGTGGAGCTGCTGTTTGACAGCAGCACAACAAAGGGTAGTAGTGAGATGAAGCGGGGAGAGCCCACGACTGGGGTGAAAAGGAAGGCACTGGGAAGAGGGCTCAAGGGCTGGAGGGCATTCAGTCAGCGGCCCCGGGAGACGGGTTAGGGGTGCTTGAGGCCATGGGTTGAAGGCTCAGCCTCCTGCAGAAAAGCACCTCTCTTGGAACATCATAGGAGGCTGAGGGATGAGATGAACAGCAAGGAGGAGGAGGGCAGAGGGAGAGAGGAACCAGTCTCCCTGGGCTGCCTGGGCAGAAGTGCTGGATACCACACGCACCCAGCAGTGTTCACGGTGTGAATGGTGAGGGGCCTGCCAGAGGCTGGGGCCTGGGTTTGGCCTCTTCTGTGAAACAGATTCCCTTTTAATATCGTGTGGTAGATGGGTGATTTTGTTACAAGTACTTATGTAGTAATTTGATATCTTTAAAACATGCTGCAATTACTTGACTTCTCATGAAAAGAAATGGAGCGTTAGTAATTCCTTGGGTCGGAGTCAGTGCTGGTCGTACTGCAGTTTTGCTGAAGGCACCTTGTTTCTCCTGAGAGAACAGCCACGGCATGCCTTTCAGATGAAGCGATGCTATGAAGTACAGAATATACCCAAGAACCAAGTGATTGCGCTGGTGCCTGTCTCCCTTCTTTCTCCCTCTGTCTGTCGGCAAGTGGGGCCTTCTCAGAACTTAGAAGGGTGAGGTGAGAAAACAGATACCCTGTGGAATGGTGCAGTGGGTGTGGTGTTTGCAGTACTTGCTGTCTGCCTGTTGCCCCCTGTGTACCTTTTGGAAAAATATAAGTGTGTGTGTGAATGAGTGAGGGGGTAAGGGATAGGGAGGGTCAGGCAGAGTGCACACTTGGGGGCAGAAAGATGAGGAGCAGGAAGGGAAACCAGTGCTTTTAAAAAATTGTTTTAGAGCATCAGAAAGTGGCAGTTAAAATCCAGGTGTTCTTATGAATGTACTGTTGATGTGATACCAGCTTCCAGACCTGTAATTTGGATTGACAGGGATGATCTGCACATACACAGGGATGGAGAGAAGCTCGGCAGAGAGAGCCATGGAATTCATAGGGTAAATTTTAAAATCTCGATTTTAGAATAAATATGTTTCATTTCCTACAAGGCGTATCTCAAATTGATTATTCCTCCAGTGCACTACAGGGCCCATCTCACAGGGCCACCAGTCCTGGCCCTGCTGCCCCGTAGCGAGTAACACGGATGAAGTCTTACGCATGCTTCTCTTCATTTCCTTGTATTTCGCATACATTGTGTTTTGTTTTTGTACCACGTGAAGACTACCTCCTCTCTTTGCCCTCAACTTGTAACGTCACTTTTGACTGTTCCTGTGTGAGAACTCAGGAATATGGGTGACCTGGTGTGTCTGTGTGTACATCACTTTTGACTGTTCCTGTATGAGAACTCAGGAATATGGGTGACCTGGTGGGTCTGTGCGTACAGCGGCACGTATAGTTGCATACGGCCTTTGTAGCTTTTTAATGGATCGTAAGTTTATGATTCTCGTAATGGAGGGAAGACAGTTCTTTCAGTATGTACTCTTTATTTCTCAGTGTGCAGCAGGTGTATTTACAGAGCTGACGTGGTGAAAAGGGGACTGCATGCCACATCTTATTTCTGTGAAATTTCCAGGTGTTTGCCTGTAACTGGATGGCTCCTTGAACCTTTGTCTAGGCTACATTACATTTTCTGCTGTATGCGTGCTGTAAAGGAAGAGATCCAGTAAACCACGGTAATGTTTTATTAAGAGAAGCACAGTTTTGATCTGCTCTAAGTATAAAACTGAAATGATTAGTCATGGAAAACGGGGCCTAATCAGACCCTGGAATGCAGTGTCTTTGGGAATACAGACAATATACACCCTGAGGAATCACAAAAGTCAGCTTCACAGCCTTTCCATGTTGCTGATATATGCTGAAAGCACCCAGGTTACCCTGGGTATGCGGTCTTCAGTCTGAACATTTGGGTTTACTTTCTCATCAGCTGAATGGCATTTTCATAGGCTGTTTGGTTTTGTCTTTAGCTTCTTCCAGACCAGCTGGTCTTGCTTCTGGAGCATCTCTTGGAGCAGAAGACTCTGAGCCACCGAACTCTGCAAAGCCTCCAGAGGACATACCACCTCCAGGACCAGGATGCAGAGGTAACCAGGAACACCCTCGGAGTTTAACCAGCACATCCCACTGTTGGTGAAGGATGGTGATCCCATTGGATCCCCAAACTATTGAAACCACCATTTCTATTAGCAGAATCCCATGTGTTTGCTGTGTGAGTGAAGAACTAAGTGCGTTAATCTGATTGTACTTACGCTTCTAACCAGAGGATTTTGAGGTCTTAAAAGTGTTTCCCTCTTCTTAAATCATAAAGATGGACATAAGTCTCCTAAAGGATTGAGTGGAATGCTTTTGAGTTGTAAACTTGGGTGGGTCATTGTGTGACTGACGGTGGTGCCGTTCTGTTGCCCACGAAGGAAACTTGGCTCCAATGTGTCAGAGCTGCTTGGTTGCATTCAGTTAGGGCAGGAAAGGAGCCATGTGTAAAGGGAATTAAAACTAAATCTAGCAGCTGTGGTTGGAGAAGTCAACTGGATGCTTGCGAGAAAGCAATGTGATACAGTCCTTAATATCTTCTACCTTATTGTGAGGAATGCAGTGTGAATCCTAAGATAAATTCCAGGGTTTTAAAAAAGTACAAAGTAGTAAATAATATATTCAGACATCTTAAGTAAAAACAAGAGCTTAAACAAAACTCTTTTATGTAAGACTCCCCAGATGCAGAAAAGTAAGTTTGGTTTTGAACATTTTAAAACTGTGCAGTCTAGTACAGCAGCCATTAGCCATGTGTGGCTGTTAAACACTTAAATGCAGCTATTTTGAGTTGAGATGTGCTGTAAGTATAAAATGCACAATGAATAGTGAAGACATTGAATGAAGAAAGACAAAATAACTTAATGTCTCCCGATTGATTATAGTGTTAGTGATATTTGGGATATATTAGGTTAAATATTATTGTAATGAATTTTATAATCATTAAAATGGAGTAATTGAGAAAAGCCCCGTTCCTTATTAACCAAAAGGTAAGATGGCCATTGTTAGGCATTTTAAAACCCCATAAACTCAAGAGTGATTGAAAAACTCCAGAGGAGATCTGTAGCTTTTTACCCACCTGAGCATAGACCAGATTTGCAACTGTTGCTGTTTATTTCAGCTCTTACATTTTTGTTTATAGGAGTTTTGAAATGCCAGACTGTTATTTTTAATTAGTGCTTAAAAGACTTGCTATATATAGTCATTAGGCTGTGTTTCGATCAGGGTGGAATACCACCGAACCGCCAGGACCTGTGATGGGGATGGACAGACCAGAGGGGAGGATCAGAGCAGGCGCCGGGCACCTGTCACTTGATGTCCGGAAGCCAGGAGGTGTGGCCCCTTCCGTTTAGCATAAAACATGTCCTGTTCTTAACTTACAGCTCAACTTACTTGTTACATATAACCTCTTAGAACCTTTGAGAAGTAGAACAGGTTTTACTTAGTTGCTTGTTTTATGCTGCGCAAACTATGTCATGGTGCTAGACTAGGCAGTCTCTTCAGCTAGAACCCTGGTGATGAGGAGCTGGGGCCTCATTACATCTTTGCTCAGTTTATATGACTAGTGTGGTCTGTGTTCATGTGATTCACAAATACTCCACTGTTCCACTAGGCATCAGGAATATAGAAATGACAGGCAAAGTTAGCTACCCTTAGGAAGCTTACATTCTTCTGAAAGACAGTTCCTGAGTAAGTGAACAAGACAGCTTGAGACAAGAGCGGTGAAGGAGAGATACAGGATAAAGTCGGGCAAGGTTTCCCTAGATGGGGGATTCAGGCCACTCAGAGCGACCTGAAGGCAGGAGGGAGCTGACCACAGAGAGCGCAGGCGTGAACTCGGTGTGTGCCGGCACAGGGCCAGCAAGCCTTTCCCATAAAGGACCAGGCAGTTAATATTTCAGACCGTACGCTTTCTGTGGCAGCTCTTCAGCCTTGTTGCTGTAGCATGAAGCTGCCATAAGTAGTATAGCAGACGTAGCTGTGTGCCAGTGAAACTTTGACGGACCTGAAACTTAAATTTGATGTAATTAGCCCATCTCCAGATAATTGTTGTTTTTTTTTCCCCCGCCTTTCCTTTTTATTTATTTGGAGACAGTTCTCACTCTATTGCTCAGCCTGGAATGCAGTAGTGTGATAATAGCTCACTGCAGCCTTGAACTCCTGGGCTCGGGCAATCCTCCTGCCTCAGCCACCCAAGTAACTGGGACTACAAGCATGCGTCACCACGTGTGCTAATTTAGAAAAAGATTTTTTTTTGTTTTTGAGAGATAGGGTCTCACTATGTTGGCCAGGCTTGTCTCGTACTCCTGGCCTGGAACAGTCCTTTTGCCTCAGCCTCCCACAGTGCTGGGATTATAGGTGTGAACCACCGTGCCTGGCCCTTTTTCCTTTTTAAAATGATTTGGAAACATATACACTGTTCCTGGCTGCAGGCCCCATCTGTGGTTTCCTGACCCCCGTGCGGGGCCTGCAGGGTTGAGGTCGGGGATGAGCAGGAGCCAAATCAAGTGGAGAGAGGGGGGTTAGACCCTGGTGTGTGTCTGAAAAAGGTGCCTCCGCCCAAACTCTGGAGGTCCTGGCATGTGGTTAGTTACACCGACAGCTTATCTCATTGTGAAGTTTCCTTGAAATGTCATTCAGAACCAAAAAAGCAACAGGATTTTGGCCAACCAGGGTGTTTTCTAGAAACTTTATCAGTGAAGTGTGATTTGTTATAACACTAATTAGCGGGAATTTTGTTGAATAATCATCTGCCTTTAAGTGACAGGACATTTCATGGGAGAAAGAATTGTTACTTGGTAGAAAAAGTCTCGGGGATGCCTATTGAGTTCTTGGTGCTTCTGGACTAAACAAGCGAGGAGAGTCCCTTGCAGTCGCTCTCAGGGGTCTCACATACGGAATAAATGGCAGCCATTTGAGAGCGGGCCAGAGAGTCTGGAGTGAGGCAGGCTGTGTACTGAGCACACTGTGGGCGCTGGGGCCCGTGTTGAATTAGGTGACTGGTGCAGAAACACCTGCCCAGGCCGATGGGGCAGGTCTCCAGTACAGGGCAGGGGTGTTTGGGACCTGGTGGGGGCAGATTTCTTTACCTGCTGTGCCCCCTGTATTTTCGAGATACGCAGAAAGGCTTCCCTTGCTCTCCCTGTGACCGAGGTGCGTATGTAAAGCTGCCTTTCCAGAAGGGAAGCCTGCCGCCTCCAGCTGCTCCTGCTCCTCATGGCAGAGCGCACGGAGGAGTTTTGTTGGCTGAGCAGCATGTTCGGGATGTAGCGGCTGGAGGGGTCTCTACTGTGAGAACCCTATTCCATGGTTGCTTTAGCTCCTGGGCCGCCATCCCCGTCGGTCCCTCCCTGCCTCCATGTGAATGGGCCGGTACGGGCCGCCCACACAGAGAAGGAAGAAAGGAGGGACGAGATTACTATTCACCATTCTGTGTGTGTTGCTTCTGTGTACGGCTGTGTTCACAGAGCGTCTGATCTGTTGGTCTGATTTTCTGAGTGTAGCACTGAGTCTGCTGTGGCTGCTTGCCAAGGGCTTTCACGTCGAGGGGTTGTGGGGCCAGGGTTCTGAATACTGTCTCGGGTTTTGCACACCTGCCTGCCCTCCGTGTGCCTGCATCACGTGATGTGAAGCCCCAGGTGTATGCTCTTCAGGGAGGCAATGCGCCCGTGTTCAGAGTGTGAAAGGAAAAGGGCTCGAGGACAGACAGAGTGAGAGCATGGGTGGAGTAGGCAGACCACCCCAGGCCACCTGCTACCTTGCCGCCCTCTGCAGGGCGGGCCCAGGCGGTGCTCCTTGGTGCTCCTTGGCCTGGAGAGTGAAGCTGACCTCAAAGTCAGCCATCTCGTATGTAGCAAGCCTCAGGCCTGTGGGTGGACGCTAGGCTACTGCAGCCAGCACGGAAAATGAGCCGAAGGGCAATCCAGTCCACAGAAGCACCTTGTCCCTCTGCAGTTTTTGAGTATATTTCTCATATAGCCATAAAAGTTTAAAAAATACAGTTGCCGGGCGTGGTGGCTCAAGCCTGTAATCCCAGCACTTTGGGAGGCCGAGACGGGCGGATCATGAGGTCTGGAGATGAGACCATCCTGGCTAACACGGTGAAACCCCATCTCTACTAAAAAATACAAAAAACTAGCCGGGCGAGGTGGCGGCACCTGTAGTCCCAGCTACTCGGGAGGCTGAGGCAGGAGAATGGCGTAAACCCGGGAGGTGGAGCTTGCAGTGAGCTGAGATCCGGCCACTGCACTCCAGCCTGGGCGACAGAGCGAGACTCCGTCTCAAAAAAAAAAAAAAAATATATATATATATATATATATATATATATATATAGTTGACAGCTAACTCTGGAAACAAAAGATGTTATCTAAGATCCCTTTTTAAGTAACACATTTCCTGCCCGCCTTAGCAGGTCTCTTAAGCTGTAAAAGTAGCTACCCGTGGCAGTGAGGTGAGGATCCGGGACCTTGGCTCTCTGACTTCTTTCCCCAGGAACTCCGTGACTGACCTTCAGGCAGCAGCATCTCTGCAGACTCCACCGAGTGCTTTCCGACGGCGGCTGCGCCTCGGGCTGGGCTTCCCCAGCACTGTCTTGCTGGTGCCACGATTCCGAACGGCCCGTGCTGCCGCATGCCTTGCTTTCAGTCTGGTTGATACGCTGAGTGAGAACTTTAGTTTTCTGGGAGAAGTTGTTAGTAGCACCTGTTCTTCCCTTCCCTGTGTGGGAGAAATAGTGTCGACTGAAAGGAAGAGGACTCCCGGATTGGATTGGAGCAAGGAAGTGTGGGTGTCGTGTGTTGTGACTGTCTTCCCCGGGGTGCCGCTTCGCTGGAGGTCTCCCGTCACCGTCTGGCCCTCGTGCCTGGACCCACGTGCTCGTGTGCACGTGAGCGGCTCTTTCTGCTGACTGGCAGCAGCTAATTGACAAAAGGCAGTTTCAAAAAAAAAACTCATTTAGTAAGGTGTCTGCATAGAGTGGGGTAGCTAGAAAAAGATCGTTAACGTTTAGAGGCCACCCTGAGCCAGCTGTACTCTCCCGAAGTGCCAAAGAATGTAA